ATGAGTCTTCAAGGAATAAGAGAAGCTAAATGAACAAACCATAATAGCATCCTTCTAATTACCTACAGAAAAGAGTAGGTTTAACTTCATTCAAGTGTCTTGAATCTGAGACAGAGAGCTTTCTCAGATGCACAAACAAAAAATTAACATTTTCAGATAAATTATACTACATTTTTATCTGTTTTTAAACATTTTATCAGATATTTGGACTTGAAGAGTCTTCTTGGTATCCAGATAAAAGCTTTATTTCTATATACCAGAATAAATTGAATCCAATAAAGAGAAACCCATCAGCACCTAAAATGTTTTTGGTATTAGCCAACAGGACAATAACCAAATCATCTTCCTATCTATCTTCAACATTGGGAACCTTAAGAAGGCATCTAGGTAACTCCATACCTGCCAGAATGTCTCTTAATCAATTCAAGATTGAAACCCACTTAAAAATTCTATGTTCAAGATTTATTTTCAGTTTGTGAGGATTAAAATGACATGCCCACAACCTGATTATAAGACACAGTTGTGTTATATATCTACAATTAAGTATACAAGCACTCTATCTTCTTAATAGACACACACACACACTCCCAATATTCACCTATTTTCATATGCTTAGAAGTGAAATAATAATGTCAATCATTGCAATGATCAAGCACACAAAAAGTCTGCAAAAAAGTCCAAATCCCAGTTTATAATTTTATTAATGTTTACAGATAATGTAAACACATGAATTATCTCATATTCTGGACCCACAAGCCTAGGCTAGTTTACAAGACACCTTACTAATCATACAAAACCTAACTATGATTGAACCCCAAAAGCCTGTATATAGATTAATGTGGAAGACAATAAAGGAGGAATGGTTAAGAGAAATGTGAGAGGGGAGGATGAGCATCAGTGGGGTTGTGAGAAAATAAGAACAAAGTAAGAAACACTACCAAAGTAAACTACTACTAAGTCTTATTGTTAAGAACTTGTAAGAAGTAATTAGATTTAGGTACTAACTTCAAGGACCTCTCTACTGCCACCCCCATCCCCTGTTCTAGCTTACTATACCATCAAAAGGCATAAACCAGGTACATCAAATCTTGTTCTACGAGGTGTTTTCTGTCAGTGTTTGGCCTTTGTTTTTTAACCTCCAGTGTTTTCTCCAAGAACAAAAACAACCTCAAATACTGATGTAGCCAAATGTTTAAAATACCAAGATGGAAAAGTGACCAAACTAGCTCAGAACCCTTTATCATCTTCCCATTCCTGCAAGGGTAAGCTTTAGCCATCCCACCAAGAGTCTCAGGGAACCTTACATCAAGGCTTGTCTCCCTTTTCTGTACTTTGCATTCATTTGCTCTGTTCTGATGGGGACAAATCCACTAATCTGTGCTTCTGGACTGCCAAGGCTTTCTAGGCTGACACCAAGGTTTAGAGTTTAGAGGTTAAGAGTCTCTTATGGTTTGCCTCCCTCTCTGTAACTATTTTTTTTCTTCCCCCATGGTCTTCTGTTGTTTCTCAAATTCCACAAATGAGTGAAAACATATGAAATCTGTCTTTCTCTGACTGACTTATTTCACTTAGCATAATACCCTCCAGTTCCATCCATGTTGTTGCATATGGCAAGATTTCTTTTTTTTCATCGCTGAATAGTATTCCATTGTATATATACCCCATCTTCTTTATCCATTCATCAGTTGATGGACATTTGAGCTCTTTCCATAATTTGGCTATTGTTGATAGCGCTGCTATAAACATTGGGGTATATGTGCTCCTATGAATCAGCATTTTTGTATCCTTTGGATACAATAGCACTAGTAGTGCTAATGCTGGGTTGTAAGGTAATTCTTTTTTTTTTTAAGTTTATTTATTTTGAGAGAGAGTGAGTGGGGGAGGGGCAGAGAAAGAGGGAGAGAGAGAATCCCAAGCAGGCTCCACACTGTCAGCGTGCAGATCCTGATGCAGGGCTTGAACTTACAAACCACAACATCATGACCTGAGCCAAAGTCAAGAGTTGGACGCTTAACCAACTGAGCCACACAGGCTGCCCTTAGGGTAATTCTATTTTTGATTTTTTGAGGAACTTCCGCACTGTTTTCCAGAGTGCCTGTACCAGGAAACAAACTCCATTTTAGAAGGGACTTGGATTGACTAGTATTACTAGTAATTACTATTGGGTGAATAGTGGCTTGGAGCAGGGGCACCTGCTCTGCACAGTTCTAGGAGTGCCATTTACCTTGTTCTTTCTAGAATGTATGTTTCAGGAGCTGCCATTCACATATAATATAATACAAATGGTGTACATGGCATCGTGCTTTCAAGGAAGGCCACATTTCACTGAATACCAAGTCATTATATAATCTTCAGAGTTTTTGTTTTTTAATGTCAAAACTAGCATTACAGGGGCACCTGGATGGCTCAGTCGGTTGAGCATCTGACTTCGGCTCAGGTTATGATCTCACGGTCTGTGAGTTCAAGCACATCAGGCTCTGTGCTGACAGCTCAGAGCCTGGAGCCTGTTTCAGATTCTGTGTCTCCCTCTCTCTCTGCCCCTCCCCGGCTCATGCTGTGTATGTTTGTGTCTCAAAAATAAACATTAAAAAAAATTTAAGAACTAACTTTCCATAATTTCTGATAAGTACATATAGTAAAGTGAAGTAACACCAGAAAATTGCTCTCCTCATTATCTATCTTTAAAAAAAAAAACAGTTTTAGGGGCGCCTGGGTGGCGCAGTCAGTTAAGTGGCCGACTTCAGCCAGGTCACGATCTCGCGGTCCGTGAGTTCGAGCCCCGCGTCAGGCTCTGGGCTGATGGCTCGGAGCCTGGAGCCTGTTTCCGATTCTGTGTCTCCCTCTCTCGCTGCCCCTCCCCCGCTCATGCTCTGTCTCTCTCTGTCCCAAAGATAAATAAATAAACGTTGAAAAAAAAAAATTAAAAAAAAAACAAAAAAACAGTTTTAAAACATAGCAAAACAAAACTAATAAGCAGAAACTTTAGGAATGGGACAGGACTTCAAGCCAGAATGTGGTAGTCAAAAAAGGAAATGCATATTTTTAGTAAAACTTGGGATTAGTTCTAGTCCTGCCTCAAAGAGCAAAAGTAGTACTGGTGAGTAGACAAAATCCTGAGAATTCTTAGTAATATTTCTGCATTGGGTAAGAAGGAAAGGAGTCTAGAGAGAACTGAGGCTTGTGAAGAACTGAACGTGAGCTGGTGTCTTTCTCAGGGTTCTATGCTGAAATGGAAGATAAAACAAATTCAGGGGATATTCTCTCCAAGAAGTAAGAAATATGCCCCCTCTGCCATGTGAAAGGAAAGGAAAAAGATTTATATACTGCTTTAAAAAAAAATATTTGAAGGCAAAATCCAACCAAACAAAAACTGACTCAAAATAAACTCTGGAATGAAGCCAGTAAAACTGGGGCTGATAAACTCTGAATCTATTTAAATGTAGAAGAAAAGCTTTTATAAGAGGAGGGAATTATAGTTACAAAATAAAATACAAGTATTACAAACCTTAATAATTAAAAATAACATAAAACTAACAAAAATCAGAGGGGTAAGAGGAGGGCCGCCTGGGTGGCTCAGTCGGTTAAGTGTCTGACTTGGGCTCAGATCATGATCTCACAGTTCGTGGGTTCAAGCCCCACGCGGGGCTCTGTGCTGACACCTCAGATCCTGAAGCCTGCTTCAGATTCTGTGTCTCCCTCTCTCTCTGCCCCTCCCCCACTGGCACTCTGTCTCTCTTAAAAATAAATAAACATTAAAAAAATGAAAGAAGGGTAAGAGGAGCTAAGATGGAAATAAATATATTAACTTGATTTTCTCATTTTTCACAGCAAAAAGTAGATCAATTCTATCTAAAATGAAAATGTGTAGTTTTTTTTTAAAAAATAATTAATTTCTTAATGTTTTTCATAATCATTTTCAACATTCAAAACATTTCCTAAAGAGCCCACAAATGAACAAATGATATATCAAAATTTCCGTAATCCTTCTTTTCACATCACCTTCTTTTTCCTCTGCTGAATTCAAGTAAGAATATAAATTTCTTACTATAAAGCAGCACATACAATAGGATGTGTCTATTAATCCACACACCCACAGACACTGTATGTATCTATATGGGTACAGACTGGTGTGATGGTCATCTGACATCTAATATTTCTGAGTTCCAGGATTAGATGGCTTAAAAATTTTTTTTCTTTATATTTTGCCACACTGTTTGGATTATTTATAATACACATGCATCATTTTTATTTACAAAGGAAGTACTCAGTAAGAAGGCCTACTGAGGTTTTGTGCATGCTCAGGACAATCCTTCAAACTTTCAGAGAGAAAGGTCTGATGATCACCATCTCTATAAATTCTTCCCAGCTAGCACTAAGGAAAGTGGGGCACCAGAAATGCTATAGTCCAATATTTACCAACTTTTAAAGTAGCCATCAAAACATTCACAAAAGAAGTCTTTCCTAACCATGATATGATCTTTGTGATCTTGGAGTGGTTGCAGTTCATTATAACTACCACAGAGGGGGGCCTGGATGGCTCAATCACTTAAGCTGCTCACTCTTGATTTTGGCTCAGGTCCTGATCTAGATTCATGAGTTCGAGCCCCACATCTGGCTCCACACGATCTTCTTGGGATTCTCTCTCCCCCTCTCTCTCTGCCCCTCCCCTGCTCATGTTCTCTCTCTCTCTCTCTGAAATAAATTAAAAAAAAAAAAGAAATATTTATTTAAAAAAAAAAACTACCACAGAATATTTCCACTTACACGAAGCTATATTTGGATTTCAATGCAACAATACTTCCAGGCATTAAAATATAATTTCATGAATATTATTCTATTCTACCTTTAATAAGTAGTTACTCATAAATCACCCTCAATGAGTATGTCCAAGGAAATGGGAAAAGACAGAGCACATCTAAATAAAATTTAGCATATCTATGGATGAAAACTTAATAAATTTTATGTATGAATTATCTAATATATTAAAGTAAGAAACATACCAGCAGAGGTGCTTCCATTGTCTTAATAAATCGATGAATGTTTAGTGTAGCCAGTGGCTGTTCCATCAGTGTTCTTCTACATTGCTGGGTCAAATCCAAGACTTGTTTACAATGAAAAAAGTAGAAATGTGCATTTTCTATGGCCTCAGTGCTGCAAATTAAAAATTAGGGACACAAGACAACACATGAAGAAGTTCAACGTATGATCTTTCTACCATCCAGAAAGACATAGTTCCAAGTATCTTTGCCTTTAAGTCTCATGCTATTGAATTACCTTTTTAGTAAAAATGTAAAACAGTAAAACAAAATAAAATGGACCTAAGCGAAAAAGAAGGTACAGTTTTTGAGTTGTATAAGCAACTTTTTTCCCTGAGCTCTTTAATACGGTAGTTTCTAAATTAGATTACAGGCAGGTCTACACAATTTTTTTTTTTTTTTTTTTAATAAAAGACTGTCACCTTGAGGACAAGGAGATTATCTTCAAATGTAGTTGCTTTTCTAGAACTATGCTAAATAAAGCCTTGTAACACAAATTTTCTAGGTTTAATTTAAACTCAAATCTGTTTTGAATAAACTTCAGCCAAAACATGCCTTAAGATAGAAACCATGTGACAGTTTGTGGGAGTTTGTGAGTTTGTATCTGAAATATTACAAAACTCAGCAAATATGGCTTATAATTTGAGTTCTGGCATCCTGTCAATATGACAATTCAAAGGTAAACTTATAGTGGGTAAGTAAGGTTTGCCAAAATTAAAATAACATTTTAAAAATCTCCATATGGCATTAGTAGGGTTTGGTAAAAACTGTAAATTTTTATTTTTAAAATGTTATTTCAATTCTTGATACATGCTTAAACTGAGATCTGAGGTTCACTGATTTCAAATTTAATGATAAACCAATTTCTAATAGATTTACTGATTAAAGAAATGATCACTCAAGGATTACTCAATGTGTACTAAATACAAAAGACTCAGATGAATAAGATAATTCAAATACTTGAGGGGCTTAGAATAAAGTGAATACATTTAGTTTCTTTAATGTAGTTTATAAGTGCTATAACATGCAAAGTGCTATGAGAAACAGAAATATTTCATTCTGCTTCAAGTCAGGGAGAAGAAAGAAAGGGAGAGGAAGATCACAGAGATTAAAAACAGTAAAGAAAAGAATGACTTCTCCAAGAAGATAAGACAAATGGGTACTTTAGACAAAGGAAATATATAGCCAAGACCCAATCAAAGTATGTAATTTTTTAAGCAGAACCCTAAATATACTGAAAGTAAAGTGCTGAAAGCAGGAGGACCCAGCTGAGGTTGGACCTCATATCATAATCTCTGAAATAATAAAATAATACTGGAAAATTACTGAATCAGAGATCATGGGTTGTAGGTAACCAAAAAGGTAGTGGGGGGCTACTTATTGGAAGTGTAGAAGTATATACTACAGGATACAAGGAAAATTCAAGTAAGTGGATCAGAGAATGAACGTATAAATCTGAATAGCAAGAGTTCAAGGGACCTTCATTTTGCCATTAATACCTTTCAGCTCCCAACTCTCTCTATAATGACAACTCTCTCGGGGCGCCTAGGTGGCTCAGTCAGTTAAGCACCGACTTTGGCTCAAGTCATGATCTCACGGTTCATGAGTCTGAGCCCTGCATCAGGCTCTGTGCTGACAGCTCACAGCCTGGAG